AAAAAAAAAAAAAAAAGGTCTTACTGCCTGGTGCCAATGGCTTATGCCTGTAATCCTAGCTACTGGAGGCTGAGATCTGAGGATCAAAGCCAGCCTGGGCAGGAAAGTCCGTGGGACTTATCTCCAGTTAACCAGAAGTGGCGCTGTGCCTCAAGTGGTAGAGCATTAGCCTTGATCTGAAGAGCTCAGGGACAGCACGTAGGCCCAGAGTTCAAGCCCCACAATTGACCAAAAAAAGAAGGAAGAAAGGAAGGGAGGAAGGAAGGAAGGAAAAAGGAAAGAAAAGAAAAAGAAGCTCAGGGACTGTTTACAGGCTCTTGAGTTCAAGCCCTAGGAGTAGAAAAAAAAGCTCAGGGACAGTGCCCAGGTCCTGACTTCAAGCCCCACAACCAACCAACCACACACACACATTCACACACAAAAGTTTTTACTCATTCTTTAATACTCAGTTCCAAAGGCCTTTTGTTTCTCTTTAAACTCCAATGCTCCTATTTGCATTTACAGTAGTATTTCAGTTTGGTCAGGCTACAGCTTGAATCTTTTGGATTTAAATAATGGTTCAAATGTTTTCTTGTGGTCTTGAACAAATTATACAACCTATCATAGCCCACTTGGTGAGAAAACAGCTTACTAATTCTAGGTTTTCAGACTATATCCATACCACACTGCCTCTCCGTGTACAAATAAATGCTTAGAAGATGAAACCTTCACCTCCCTTTCCAGAAATGTGTTTCCTTTTCATGTTTGCAGCACAGGACAGGGGGTCTGACTCACCTGCACACACGTATAGGATGGTACTCCACCAATTAAGATAATAGGGCCATAGGAAATTGGACTCCATGACATCCGTTCGATGCCAGTGAACCTGTGCCAGAAACAGGTAGAGGCAGAGGAACAAGCAGAAGGCTGGGACCAGAAGAAAAGATTTTACAACCTATCAGCATCTTCAGTGTACCTTGATTGTCACCCCCAGTCCTCTGCCTGTAGGATCATATACCTAGCAAGAATCAAATGATAAAAGCTGGGCACTGGTGGCTCATGCCAGTATTCCTAGCTACTCAGGAGGCTGAGATTTAAGGACCCAGGTTGGAAGCCAACCCAGGTAGGAGACTGACAATCTTATTTCCAATTAACTACTAGAAAACTGGAAGTGGAACTGTGGCTCAAAGTGGTAGAGTTCTAGTGTTGAGCAAAAGAAGCTCAGGGACAGTGCCCAGACCCTGAGTTCAAGCCCCAGGATTGGCCAAAAAAAAAAGTATAAGAAAAAAGGTTGAGAGCCGGGCACCGGTAGCTCATGCCTATAATCCTAGCTATTCAGGAGACTGAGATCTGAGGATCACGGTTCAAAGCCATCCCAGGCAGGAAAGTCCATGAGACTCTTATCTCCAATAAACCACTAGAAAACTGGAAGTGGTGCTGTGGTTCAAGTGGTAGAGCGCTTGCCTTGAGCTGAAGAGCTCAGGGAAACACCCAAACCTAGAGTTCAAGCCCCACGACCGACCAAAAAAGAAAAGAAAAAAGGTTGAGAAGCCCCAGAGACACTGCATTACCTTGCCAGTCTAGGTTAGTACCTGTTAAGAAGCTGAGCAGAGATTCCTTCATATCCAAGTTGGTGATCATGCTTTCTCTTCCATGGAAACAAGAGCTAAAGAGCCAGCCAAGAGCAAAAAGTATGGCAAAGACAGAGATGAGGCAGAAGACCCTGGAGCTCTGGAGATAATCTATGGGAATAAGAAGAAAGGAAGGGCCTGGTTAGACCAAAGGACATATTGCTTCAGGAAGCCACAGAGGATCTTTTTTTTTTTTCTTTCTACTTTTCCAGTCCTGGAGCTTGAACTCAGGGCCTGGATGCTATCACTGAGCTTCTTTTGTTCAAGGCTAATGTTCTACCACTTGAGCCACAGTGCCACTTCTGGCTTTTTCTGTTTACATGGTACTGAGGAATCGACCCCAGTGATTCATGCATGCTAGGCAATCACTCTACCACTAAGCCACATTCCCACCCCCCATGGAGAGAAAGAGGGAACCACAGGGCTGGGAAGGTGGCTCAGTGGTAGAGTGCTTGCCTTGCATGCGTGAGCCCATGGGTTTGATTCCTCCTCATCACATAAGCAGAAAAAGCTGGAAGTAGCACTGCAAAGGTGGGAAAGTGGGAAGGTGATAGCCTTGAGCTGAAGAGCTGAGGGCTAGTGCCCAGGCCCAGAGTTCAAGCCCCACAACTGACCAATATATATATATATATATATATATATATATATATATACATATATATATTACTATTTTTAAGTTTTACAAATATATTTTACTGTTTTAAAAATATGGGACACCACAAATTTGCATGTCATCCTCACACAGGGACCATGCTATTCTTCTCTGTATCATCCCGACTTTTAGTATACGTGCTGCTGACACTATCACTCTATAGTTGTTATTAAGGTGATGTACAGAGGGGCTACTCTTTCCCGAGTCAGGTAATAAGCTCATTTCTTTTTTCTTTTTTTTGTTTTCTTTTTCTTTTTTGCCAGTCGTGGGGCTTGGACTCAGGGTCTGGGCACTGTCCCTGAGCTTCTCTGTGCTCAAGTCTAGCACTCTACCACTTGAACCACAGCACTACTTCTGCCTTTTTCTGTTTATATGATACTGAGGAATCGAACCCAGGGCTTCATGCATGCTAGGCAAGCACTCTACCAGTAAGCCACTTTCCCAGCCCATGAACACATTGTTTTTTTCTTTTCTTTTTTGTTGGTCATAGGACTTGAACTCTGGGCCTGGGTGCTGTTCCTTGGCTCTTCAGCTCAAGACTAGTGCTCTACCACTTGAGCCACAGCACCACTTCCGGTTTTCTGAGTGGTTTATTGAAGATAAGAGTCTCACAGACTTTCCTGCCCAGGCTGGCTTTGAACCGAGATCCTCAGATCTCAGCCTTCTGAGTAGCTAGGATTACAGATGTGAGCGACTGGTGCCCGGTGAACACATTTTTTAAAGAGTGCCAATTGATGACTTGACACAAGAAATCCTGGGGCCAGCAGTACAAAAAAGGTGGCCACATTCATAACTTCAGCCAAGATCCATGCTGAGTTTGGCCAGATGACAGTTTAGAGATCTTGGAGGAAGAAAGATAAAAAGCCAGTGTGGCAGAAAGCTCTGGAACAGGGGCAGGGCAGGGGGGAAGGAAGGGATGTCTGTGGCATCTACCTTCATGGCACTCACAGGGTGGCTTGGGGGTGTGGCTCCAGCACATCTCATGTTTACATATGGTCCAAAGTCCTGCATACAACTGCAGACCGGTTTTGGTCACCAGGAACTCCACCCAGCTCAGTGGGCAGGTACAGAGCACCATCAGGAGGCTCAAGCCACAGAGACTTCCACAGAACATTCGGATGTAGGTGGATGTCCGATCCATATGGTACCGTTGCTTCTCGTGTGGCATGGAGGCATTCGGTTCTTCATTGATGGGGAGGGTAGGCTACAAGGATGAGGGAAGTATTGTCTATCCAAAAAAGATAATCCCTGGTTCCCAAGGCCTTCTCATTCTTCTCTACTTAGATCTCTATGGTTTTGTTTGTTTGTGTCAGTCCTGGGGCTTGAACTCAGGGGTCCTTGAGGGTTTTTTTTTTTGCTCAAGGCTAGCACTCTGCCACTTGAGTCACAGCTTCATTTTTGGCTTTTGTGGTGATGAATTGGAGATAAGAGTCTCATGGACTTTCCTTCTTGAACTGGCATTGAACTGTGTAATCTTCAGATCTCAACAACCTAAGTACCCAGGATTACTGGCAGGAGCCACCAGCACTTGGCTACTCTATATAGGTTTGATTAGAAAATATCTTTATGGGTTTGTTGTTGTTTTATTTTGTCAGTCCTGGGGCTTGAACTCAGGGCCTGGGTACTGCCCTGAGCTCTTTTTCCTCAAGGCTCTCACAACATTGAGCCATAACTCCACTTTCTATTATCTGATAGTTATTTGGAGATAAATTACAAGCCCTTTCCTACCTGGCTTGGCTTTGAACCTTGATTCTCTGCTCTCAGCCTCCTGAATTGCTAGGTTACAGGCATGAGCAACTAGCGCCAAGCTACAAAATATCTTCCCCAGCTGGGAAGGTGGTTCAGTGGTAGAGTGCTTACCTTGCATGCATGAGGCCCTGGGTTCGATTCCTCAGCACCACATAAACAGAAAAAGCCAGAAGTGGGTGCTGTGGCTCAAGCAGAAGAGTGCTAGCCTTGAGCTGAAGAGCTTAGGGACAGCACCCAAGCCCAGAGTTCAGGCCCCACAACCAAAAAAAAATCTTTCCCTAACCCTTGTAGCAAAAGAATTTTCAGAGTGATCTTTTTTCTTGTCCTTAAGTCATTCTCTTTGAGTCCTACCTTTAAATAAGTCCTCTTTCTCCCCTCTGATCTAGAGTTAGGTACCACCTCACCCTTAGGTAGTTCCGGTTTCCCTTCATTTTGGGGGCCTGAGGATTGTGGAAGGTCAAGATTTGTTCCTTCCTCTCCATCTTGGCAGCCAGTTCACATCCTAACTGTCACGGAATTTGTCTGAGCGTGTCCTTGTATATGCTGGCAGAGGCAAAAGGGAAGGCAAGTCATGTGGCACAGATGCTGTTTCTCTCTCATATTCTTGGTCCAGTCAATTGAGGAACAAATGACCACAGTGTAAACATGCATGTATTTGTGACACTTCCTGTACACAAACCCTTAATTAAAAGAAATCCACAGATTTATCAGCAGTTTCGGATGTCAGTCTATGTTAGATCCTGGACATAAAGATAAGAGACAGCTCCATCTTAGCAAGTAAGAAAGTGCAGCTCAACATGGGTCTAGCAAGCACAAGACCCTGAGTTCAAATCCTAGTATGCCAACTCTCTAGATAGAGGGACAAGATTAGAGAGTATATAGATGATAGTGTATATATTATATATACACTGTATATACATATGTCATATATGTATATTATGTGTATTTATGTGTTATATAACACACACACACATATATATATTTAAAATCACTACATACCCATCAGAATGGCTCTGTGAAACAGTATTGGCATGTATGTGAAACAATTGGAACTCACCTTCACTCTGAGTGTGTGTGTGTGTGTGTGTGTGTGTGTGTGTGTGTGTACATGCACCAGTACTGGAGCTTCAACTCAGAGACTTGCTCTCTTGCTTAGTTTTCTTTTTCTTTTTTTTTTGGGGGGGGTCCAGTCGTGGGGCCTGAACTCTGGGCCTGGGCGCTGTCCCTCAGCTCTTCAGCTCAAGGCTAGCGCTCTACCACTTAAGCCACAGCGCCACTTCTGGCTTTTTTTCTTTTTGCTTATGTGGTGCTGAGGAATCGAACCCAGGGCCTCAGGCATGCAAGGCAAGCTTTTTCTTTTTCTTTTTCTTTTTTTTTTGGTCCGGTCGTGGGGCCTGAACTCTGGGCCTGCGCACTGTCCCTCGCTCTTCAGCTCAAGGCTAGCACTCTACCACTTGAGCCACAGTGTCACTTCCGGCTTTTTTCTTTTTGCTTATGTGGGGTTGAAGAATCGAACCCAGGGCCTCAAGCATGCAAGGCAAGCGCTCTACCACTGAGCCACCTTCCCAGCCCCTTGCTTAGTTTTCTTGCTCACAGCTGGTGCTCTACCACTTGAGTCACTCTTCCAGCCCAGAATTTTGCTGTATAATTGGAGACTGAGTTTTGTGGGCTTTTCTGCCTGGGTTGGCTTCTCACCATAATCATCGGAGTCTCAGCTTCCTGAATAACTGGGATTACAGGAATGAGTCAGTGGCACCTGGCTCCACACACACTTCTGTTGGACACGTAAACTGGTAAATTATTTTCAACAATTGCTTGGCATTATTTACTGAAGCTGGATATGCAACAGGAAAGTGTCCACCCAAAGACACGTGTTGGCATGTTCAAGCTACACTCTTCATAACAGACAAGATGGATACTTCCCAAATAGCCATCAACAGAAGAATGGAAATTTACTATGTGTCTATAAGGAAATACTATACAGTAATACGTGTAATCCACAACCACCCAAGCAAGGTAGGTGAACATTATAAATGTAATGCCAAGTAAAAGAAGTCCAACAAGCTAGACAGGCTCATGCCTGTAAGCCTAGCAACTCAAGAGGCTGAGATCTGAGGATGGTGGTTCAAAGTCAGTCTGGGCAGGAAAGTGTGAGAATCGTTGTTGTTGTTGGTTATGGGGCCTAAACTCTGGGCCTGGGCACTGTCCCTCAGCTCCTCAGCTCAAGGTGAGCGCTCTACCACTTGAGCCACAGTGCCACTTTCAGCCTTTTCTGCTTATGTGGTGCTGAGGAATCGAATCCAGGGCTTCATGCATGCAAGACCAGCATTCTACCACTGAGCCACCTTCTCAGCCCCTGTGAGAATCTTATCTCCAATAAACTACTCAAAAAACCTGGAAGTGGCACTCTGGGTCAAGTGGTAGAGCCCTAGCTTTGAGCAAAAGAAGCTCAGGAACAGTGCCCAGGCCCATAGTCCCAGCCCCAGGACTGGCAAAAGAAAGAAAAATCCAGACATAAGATTGCAGCTATCAGCAGTTTCATGCTTGTAATCCTAGCTACTCAGGAGGCTAGAATCTGAGGATTGAGGCTCAAAGCCAGCCCAGGCAGAAAAGTCCTTAAGACTCCATCTCCAAAATAACCAGTAAAATAACAATAGTAATAATGACAGCAAAAAATTGCTTGCCAGTTGAGCAAGCAAGTTTAGTGAGCATAAAGTACCTAGTTCAACCTTGGCACACTAGCAAGACAAACAAATCTCCAGAATGACATCTCCAAATGAAAAGCAACATTAATTAATGGGGACTATTTCTCAGCCTGTTGGCTAAGGGCGGGTGTAGAATGTGTTCTTATCAATGTAATTAATGGTTAGATGGGAAGAAGATAGATGCTGGTGAGATTATTCTCTTCAATGGGTATTGTAATGTTGTTTAGAACTGGAAACGTGGGTGGAACCTAAAGGTTCATTAATTAATAGGGAATTGGGTAAATAAATTATGAGCATGTATACTGTTTCCATTGACTAATCTGTGTGTGTGTGTGTGTGTGTGTGTGTGTGTGTGTGTGTGTGTGTGTGTTGAAGTCAGGATCTGGGTACTGTCCCTTAGCTTTTTTTTTCTTTTTTCTTTTTTTTTGGTCGGTCGTGAGGCTTGAACTCTGAGCTTGGGCACTGTTTCTGTGCTCTTCAGTTCAAGGCAAGTGCTCTACCGCTTGAGCCACAGCGCCACTTCCGGTTTTCTAGTGGTTTACTGGAGATGAGTCTCACGGACTTTCCTGCTCCGGCTGGCTTTGAACCGTGATCCTCAGATCTCAGCCTCCTGAGTAGCTAGGATTACAGGCGTGAGCCATCGACACCTGGCATGTCCCTTAGCTTTTTTTGGGGGGGGGGCGTCCAGTTGAACTCTGGGCCTGGGCGCTGTCCCTCAGCTCTTCAGCTCAAGACTAGAGCTCTACCTCTTGAGCCACAGAGCCACTTCTGGCTTTTTGTCTTTTTGCTTATGTGGTGCTGAGGAATAGAACCCAAGGCCTCAGGCATGCAAGGCAAGCGCTCTACCACTGAGCCACCTTCCCAGTCTCTTAGCTTTTACACTCAAGGCTATCTCTGTATCACTGGAGCCCCAGCTCCACTTCTGGCTTTTTTTTATTTTTTATTTATTTATTTTGTCTGTCATAGAGTTTGAACTCTGGGCTTGGGCACTGTCCCTGCGCTCTTCAGCAAAAGGCAAGCATTCTACTGCTTGAGCCACAGCGCCACTTCTGGTTTTCTAGTGGTTTATTGAAGATAAGTGTCTCACAGACTTTGGGGCTGGGAAGGTGGCTCAGTGGTAGAGCGCTTGCCTTGCATGCCTGAGGCCCTGGGTTCGATTCCTCACCACCATATAAGCAAAAAAAAAAGCCGAAAGTGGTGCTGTGGCTCAAGTGGTAGAACGCTAGCCTTGAGCTGAAGAGCTGAGGGACAGGGCCCAGGCCCAGAGTTCAGACCCCACGACCAGACCCAAAAAAAAAAAAAGAGTCTCACAGACTTTCCTGCCCGGGATGGCTTTGAACCACGATCCTCAAATCTCAGCCTCCTTGAGTAGCTAGGATTACAGGCATAAGCCACCAGCACCTGGCACTTCTGGCTTTCTGATGGTGAATTTGAGATAAGAACCTCATGGATTTTCCTGCCTAGGCTTCCAACTTTGATCCTCAGATCTCAACCTCCTGAATAGCATTACAGGTGAGAGCCACTGATACTCAGCTAAAGTTTGCTCTTTCAACTGGCTTTATATTTGTGAATTTCACAATCTGTTATTTTGCTTAACAGTTTTTTTTTCCTTTGTAACTGCTTCTAAGTACCTCCTACTTAATTCAAAATTTAAGTACTGGGATAGTACCTTCAGTTTCAAGGTTGACAGGTATGTTTGGCCATATGATATTTACAGGAACTTCTAAGCTAGGCAGCAGCTTTGCACAATTTTAGTGCCCACTACTGCCAGAAAGAAACCCTGCCCAAATCATGATACAGATTACCTACCTGCTACCATGAGAAAACAGAGTAACAAAGAACTAATCAAACAGTCCAGGAAATGGTCAGTAATTCTAACTGTGATGAAGTAAAAACAGTCCCAGGAGCTCAGTGGCTCACACCTGTAATCCTAACTAGGAGGCTGAGATCTGAGGATCTTGGTTCAAAGCCACCCAAGGCAGGAAAGGCCATGAGACTTTTCTTTGGTGAGTTGTGAGGCTTGAACTCAGGGCCTGGGCACTATTTCTGAGCTCTTTTTTTGCTCAAGGCTAGTACACTACCACTTGGAGCCATAGCTCCACTTCCAGTTTTTGAGTGGTTAACTGGACATGAGTGTCTCATGGGGACTTTTCTGCCTTGGCTGGCTTCAAACTGCAATCCTCAGATCTCAGCCTCTAGAGTAGCTAGGATTACAGGCATGAGCTACTGGCCCCTAGCTCCAGGAGACTTTTATCTCCAAGTAATCACCAAAAGCTGAACTGGAGCTGTGGGTCAAGTGGTAGAGTGCTAAACTTGAGCATAAAAGTTCAAGGACAGCACCCAGGCCCAAAGTTGATGCCATAGGACCAGTACACACACACACACACATACACACACACACACACACACACACACACACACACATCGGGTCTTCATCTGTCCTGCGGAAGATGGACGGGGTCCCAGGAAAGGTAAGTGTGCAGCTCGCTGGTTCCCCCAGCCTCCTTTAGCCATGGAGACAATCAGACACAGCAGGGAGTCAAGTCAAGCAGGAACTCATTTATTACCACACAGCAAGCACTTTTTAAAGCATGGCATGGGAGGGGAGGAAAAGGAACTAACCAATCACTGTAAAGGTCACACCCTAACACGCACCTAAGCTTCCAGGAGCTGAAAGTAAACAAATTGGGCTCTGCCCACTCAATTCCCTCTCAGCACCATCTTTGCTGTCGGTGTGCCCTACAGATTCCCCCTTTTTGTTTTAATGGCAGATCCAC